AGGGAGGGAGGGAGGAAAAGAAAGGAAGGAAGGAAGGAAGGAAGGAAGGAAGGGAGGGAGGGAGGGAGGGAGGAAAAGGAAGGAAGGAAGGAAGGGGAGGGAGGGAGGGAGGAAAAGAAAGGAAGGAAGGAAGGAAGGAAGGAAGGAAGGAAGGGAGGAAAAGGAAGGAAGGAAGGAAGGAAGGAAGGAAGGAAGGAAGGAAGGAAAGGAGGAAAAGGAAGGAAGGAAGGAAGGAAGGAAGGGAGGGAGGGAGGGAGGGAGGGAGGGAGGGAGGAAGGGAGGGAGGGAGGAAAAGAAAGGAAGGAAGGAAGGAAGGAAGGAAGGAAGGAAAGGAGGAAAAGAAAGGAAGGAAGGAAGGAAAAAAGAAATCATGAGGTCAAGCCTTGCCCACACAGGGCCGACCCTGGGCAGTGGACGCCCTTGCTCGATTCGCTCCCAATCTTCGGTCCCAGGCACGATGATAACAGTCAACAGGGCAGAGCAGAGCTGGAGTGATGAGCTTCACCCCCGAAAGTGCCTTTTGAGCCAGAGGAAGAGGAAAGAGGGCTGGGCCATGTGGGCAGATATTCCCAGGAGAGCTGGGGAGGACAAAGGGTTTGGGTGGGCAGAACTGTAGAGTTCAAGGACCTGAGGCAGCCTGAGGACAGAACAGAGGGGGAGGACCCGGGAGATAGCATGGCAGGGCGACACTTGCCTTGCACGCGGACAGTTTGGGATCCGTCCCCGGCACTCCATATAGTCTCCAGAGCACAACTGAAAGTGAGCCAGGAGTAAGCCCTGAGCACCACCGGGTGGGGACCCAAAACAAACCAAAGAAGAAGAGAGGGGAGGGAAAGGGGCCTCACAGGGTCACTAAGATTTTGGCAAAGCTCTGAGAACCGTCTTCACTTTTATGGAGCCCCATTGCACCAGTGTAAAGATGGCAGGGGTGGAAGGTGCAGAGGGCCAGGGAGGGGCTCCGAGGCCAGGGGCCACAGCAGGAAACCCTGCTTCCATTCCTGCCACCGCCGAGCCTCCAGGGCACCATAGAGCGTGCCCGAGGGTCCCTGGCACCCCAGGGACTAAGCACCACCACCTCGGACCCTAGCACTGAAACACAGCTCGGTTAGTCTGTATCACCGGGTGTAGCCGGAGACCCCAAGGCACTGCTTGGGAGGGGACCCCCCCCAAAAAAAAAGTTTAAAAAAATTTAAAGGGTGTTAATGACATACCAGCTCAAATACCAGGACAACTCCCTCTTGGGGGAACAATCCGAAGATGGGCCTTCCCAGAGCACGGGGCAAGGATCGCCTTTGGGTGGCACCCCACCCACCCAGGCTCCCCACCCTGTGGCTGGCATGTGCCCGCCTCCTCCGGAGTGATTCACTCATGGGCCCTGGGGTGGGGGCGCCTCCCTGGGGACTTCTGAGTCGAGTCACTGTTCAACCCATCACACTCACTCTTTGCCGTCCGTGCTGGGAAGGAGAGAGATGAGTCGGACGTGATGAAACGCAGCGGTGCACCCAATTTCCGGGGCACCCCCTCCCACCTGCACCCTCCTGCACATCTTCCCACCCAGGCAGCAGTGTGGGAAGGCTGTTCCCACACATACATGCCTCACACCTGGCTGGACAGGGAGGTGGGGTGGGTGAGGGCGGTGCAGGGGGAGACGAATCACGGAGACCGTCAGGCAGGTGGTACTGGGAAGTCAGACGATGCGAAGCCTGCGTCATGCGGAAAGGGGGTGAGGATGGATCCCAGAGCAGAGGGGCTGCAGAAAAGGGGACAATTCCAGGGGACCCTGTTAAGGTCTTGCGGGTTGTCTTCTGCATAAAGTAAGACCTTGGCCAATTATATTTACCAAGACACCACATGTTGTCTTTTTTTTTCTTTTGCGGGGGTTGAGGCCACAGCTGGGTGTGCTCAGGGATCACTAGTGGCAGGGCGTGGGGCACCAGACGGGGTGCCAGGAATGGAACCCAGGTCAGCTGCATGCAAGGCGTGCTGTATCTCTTAAGTCCTGTGCTGTGTTTTTCTGCCTTTCCACACCCCTTGCAAATGCCGTGTCCGAGTTGCACTGTTTCTTTTCAAAATTTTCTGTGGGAGCAGACCATGAAGCTGGGAGAGCGAGTGGGGCAGAGATCAGGACAGACTTCCCTTTGTCCTGCAAAGAGCCTTGTCTCAGCCTGAGAAACGGGCTCCCTGAAAGGTGCGGGGTTGGAAACAGCTTCCCCCCCCCCCCTCCCCCCCCCCCCCCCCCCCCCCCCCCCCCCGCTCTCTCCAGCTCCGGGCAGCGAATGGCTCGGATGGCCCACTGCTGGCAGGACCACAGAGGAGCTCAGGTGCGCGTTTGCATCCTCATCCCCTGGCTTTGGGCTGGAGGCGGAGGGCCAAGAAGGGGGGAGGGAGAAGCGCCCGGCCGCGTTGACTCAGCGCCAGCAGCAACAGCGCCACCTGCAGGGCCATCCGCAACTGCACCATGCACCCCGCGGTCGGAGAGACGTGACTTCTGTGGCTGAGATCAAGGACTAAGCACCAGGCAGCATAGAGGCAGAGCTGGTGGGACGTGGGGCAGGGTTTGCCACAGGGCGGGAGGAGCCGGCGAGGGCAACGCTGACTTCACCTTCCTGGCCCAGGGCCAGATCTCTGCCCTCTGCTGGGATAAAAACGACAGGATGTAAAATTTGATGTTTCCATTTTATTACATTCCATTACTGGGGAATGTGTCCATCCCAGATAAGGGAATGTGCTTCTTAAAATTATTCTCCATCAGTGGTTTTCAACCTCCAGCTGATGATATGGCACCACCCCACAGAAATTTCCTGCTGGTTTGTGAAAAAGTGACCGCAGCTGGCTAAAGGCCAGGAGTAAGCCCGGCATCATGTGGTGTGACCAAAAATCAAAGATAAAACCAACAGGGGCTAAAGAGAGAGTACAGAGGGTAGGACACTTGGCTTGGACAAGGCCAAGCCAGATTCAATCCCTGGCCACTGCATATGGTCCCCCGAGTACCCCCAGGAGTAATTCCTGAGTGCAGAGCCGGGAGTAAGCCCTGAACACCACCAGGTGTGAACCCAAAACCAAACCAACAAACAAAAAACCCTGAAGGACCTGAGAAATAGTACAGCAGGTAAGGCATGCCTTGCATGTGGCCCATCCAAATTTGACCCCTAGCACCCCAAATGGTGAGCCCTGTGCACAGAGCCAGGAGTGAGGCCTGAGCACCACTGGGTGTAAACCAAAACCCAAAACAAACAAGCAAAAAGAATCCAGAAGGACCTGAAGAAATAGTACAGCAGGTAAGGCACTTGCCTTGCATATGGTTTATCCAAGTTTGATAGGAACCCTGCCAAGAGAGATCCCTGAGCACACAGAGCCAGGAGGGAGCCGTGAGCACAGCCAAGAAGCCCCGAGCACTGTCAGGTGTGGCTGGAAGAACGGGGACCACCTGAGGACTGGGCTCCACAGGTGTCTGCACCTCCTGTGAATAGGGCGCCAACTGCCCTATGTTCCAGGTCTTCCCAAGGACTCTTGCTGTGCATCCTTTAAATGCCCTTATGAGATGGCATCTCCCTCCAGTGCACAGGTCCAGTGCGCTCACTGCCCATTACAAAGACCTTGCATTGCCCAAACCCTAGGCTCCTGTTACCAACTGGCTGCTTGTGGTCACTCGCCTCTCATGCACAATTCCGTTGGACTGAGGTGAAAGCAACTAACGCAAATAATGCAGCAGACGCTCCTGAGTAAGTTCTTTGACCCAACAGCCTCATTCCTGGCCAGTGGGAGTGGGTGGGCTAGCGTGTAGGCTTACACAGCGCAAGTCAGAGCCCTCCAGGACCAGGGCATGCCCTTGATCCTTCAGCATTCTGTCAATGCTGGTGAGTTTACCCAAACAAGGTGCATTTCTACACTGCTGGTTATACTACAGTTATTGCTTATTTTGGGGCCATGCCCAGTGGTACTGGGGCCCATACTGGGCTAGGGGAACATGTGATGTCAGAATCAAACTGGGCCCCCACATACAAAAACTCCCCACCCAAGGATTAATAAAAGTGCTGCCTCAGAGGCAAGGCCCCGAGTGTGATCCCCAGCAGAGCCCTTGAGCATAACCAGGCGTGACCCTTTGACCCTAAACCCCACTGCCAGGAGTGATTTCGGCTCTCCACTCCCACTTCCCAATGCATCACTACTAATGTGGCCCTGATTAAAAAAAACAAAACAGGGGCTGGGCTGGAGCTATAGTGCAGTGGGTAAGGCGTTTACCTTCACGCAGCCAACCCGGGTTTGAGTCCCAGCATCCCATATGGTCCCGAGCACTGCCAGGAGTAACCCCTATGTATCACTGGGTGTGACCCAAAAAGAAAAAAAAACTCAAGTCAAACCCTATCATGTTCTCCTTCAAAATGTCCACTGTAGTAGTTCCTCTTGAATAAACTCTTTCTCACCATCTTGGAAGGAAAAACAAAACTATAAAGTTTGAAAGCATCGGGGCTGGAGTGACAGCACAGTGGGAAGGGCGTTCGCCTTGCATGCGGCTGACTCGGGGTTTGATTCCCAGCATCCCATATGGTCCCCTGAGCACCGCCAGGAGTACTTCCTGAGTGCAGAGCCGGGAGTAGCCCCTTGCGCATTGCTGGGTATGACCCAAAAAGCAAAAAAATAAATAAATAAAAATAAAATCTGAAAGCATCTTTTTTTGGGGGGAGAGAAGTTGGGGTCACCCCTGGCTGTGCTCAGGACGTGCTCCTCTGTGCTCAGGGATCACTCCTGGCAGGACTTCGGGGATAACATGGAGTGCCAGGGGTAGAATCAGGTTGGACCCACGCAAGGCAAGTGGTCTGTCCACTGCACTATCTTTCTAGCCCCTGAGAGTCTCTTACATACTTTCTTTACTTCTAAAGGGGACATAGGCCTCAGAGGCAGTACTTGGAAGTGAACAGCAAGGAGATAAAAAAGAAAAATCAAGAAACTGAACACAAAAGGAATATCTGGGAGAGAAGCCATTTTTATAAAACATAATCATTTTTAATTCACTGCATCCCAGGATGAGCACCAGATCCCGTCTGAAAGCAAACGAGGTCAAATAATCCAGGGCAAGAGGTGATTTTAATTTTGAAGGGCCTCCAAGGCCAAGATTCATATCTCTGTATGGAATGGATTTTCAAAAGAACAGAAGCGGTCTTTGATCTTGCCGAACCACTTGTCTTCGAATTCTTTCGAAGATGCAATCACCAGGGCGGCGAGGGCTGCGGGGCCGACACACTTCACCTCAGCGTGAACTTCATCCCGCAGCTTTTCTGGGACGATGTCTTCTCCCATCACCTGCAGCGAGATGAGAGAAAAACAACACTGTCCCAATCAGAGAGTCGGAAGACTTGCACAAGGCAGGGTTCGGGGACGCTGCTGGTGGAGGTCACGTGTAAAGTCTTCCTTCCCGGTACAGGCGGCGACGCCTAGGGCAGTCAGGGGACAGTCTCTACCCTTTGAAGAGAAAGAGGCCTGTGCAGAGGTGGGACCAGAGGCCGTGCCAGGTCAAGTTTCAGTGTCGGCCTCACAGAACAAGGTGAGAGGCCTCTGCTCTTCAAAAACAGTGACCAAGGGACAGGGTTACAGTTGTTACTGCTGCTGGCTGATGGGCAGACAGCCTCTGGAACGTGAGGGCAGCAAGTAGTGAAGAGGCGAGCAGGTGGCCCCCGACCCACTGGGGCTCATGGGATCTCTCTGGAAACCTTTTCCCAGCAAAGCGTGTGCCCTTGGGAGGAGCAATACTGCTCCCTGCTGGCCGGAATCAGGCCCTGGGTCTACATTACTCGAAGAGACATCCCTGGCAAGGGTCCCCGCTGAGATCAGTGCCTTTGGTAAGGACAGTGGAGGAAACTGAATGTCCCCAAATAATTCACACCATAATGCGGATATTGTGAAAATCACAGGATTTGGCCTAGATCATCTCTGAGGTTCCTGCAGACCCTGAGGCCAAAATGCTGCTCCAGAATAGTCAAGGATAATGGATTGGAAGCACATCCAGAGTATGGTTTCGACGGGTTAAACATGCGAAGACTATAAACTATTTGAGGCAAAAGCCAGTGAGATGAAAGCCTAATTAACAACATTTATTCAAGTATGGAGTTTTATCAAATCCTAAAATACGACCTGGCTTCTGCATTCTACCAATTTCTCAAATCAAGGAGCATCTGGTACTGGGGGCCTTAACGTGACTCGCATCTTCTTTTCCTTTTTGTGTCACACTGAAGCAATGTCTTCTGGGTTATATATAAGATCTTACAGGTGATATCTTCTGGGTAATATATAAGACCAAAAGCTGTTTTCCAAAAAACTGAAGAGAACTAAGTAACAGTAATAACTAAACACAGCAGTACTCTAGTGAGGACTGGACTGATAAGTATGGAGAGCCAGTATACCAGGGAAGGGCTTGACTTGCTCGCACCATACATGGTCCCCCGAGTACCACTAGGAGTGATCCCTGAACACTGAGCCATGAGTAAAACCAAGAGTCTAACATGAAATCTACAAACTCCTGTTTGTCTCTTCATTATTTGTTTTTGACGAAGAAGTCTGACCATCTCGTAGGTGAGCAGCCACGCCCCAGCAGTGATCTCCACTACCCAACCACCACCACACTCCAGTCTGCTTTCCACATGCTCAGGCCGAGCCTCACGTATTAGTGAACATATTCCTGGACACATCATAAGACACTCCCTACCCATTTTCCATAATTACCACACCATGTTTTATAGGGTTCAGACAGGAGGCAATAAATCATAGAGGGACGTGTGTGTGTGTGTGTGTGTGTGTGTGTGTATCAGTCCTCAGGTTAGTCTTCCTAGTCCCAGCAGGGTCCTTGTCTCATCATTACTTACTTTTCGATCATAATAGAATTTGTCTATGACCATGCCCTCAATTTATAGTTGAGTATCGTGGTGCTTTGGCCTGGCCCATTTCGATACCAGGGTAGCTCACAGCTTGACCTGGGTCCATTCAGTCCCTCGCTGGGACCCTGCTTTTGGGGTGCTAGGAACTAAGGGCAACTGATTCAAGAAAGCAGATGCCCAGGAATAAATATTATTCAGAGTCAATCAACTCCCAAGTTACAAAGCATAATATTAACTGTCTTCCTATGTCCATACAGAAAGGACATTGCTTTAAGGTAAACTATGCAAAAGACATAATTTATAATACAAGTTCAGTGTCCTTAGAAGGATCTGATCTGATCTTATAAACTAACATAATCTGATTAGGGAGAAAAGGTGATTGACTGGCTGGGGAGAATTGCACAGAGAAGAGTTTACAGATAAACAGAGGAATGGGAGTGACTCGGGAGCACTGTGATGGGTGTAACCAGATAAACCTAAGCTCCTTGTGGCAAGAGAGAAAGGACAAGCCAATGTTATCCTACATATATATTTATATATATGCCTCTCGGAGAGCCTTGCAAGCTACCGAGAGTATCCCATCCACATGGCAGAGCCTGGCAAGCTCCCCGTGGCGTATTTGATATATGCCAAAAACAGTAACACAGTTCTGACCCTGAAAGAGCCCCCAATCATTGGGAAAGATGAGTAAGGAGACGAACGGTGACGTTACTGGTGCCTGCCCGAGTAAATCGATGAGCAATGGGATGACAATGATACAGTGATATTTGTTTTCACAAAAGGCTCCCGAGGTCATTCCACGTGCGCTGTACAGCTGGAGAACTCCCATCCCAGGTAGATGTAATTAGCACAGTGAAGGGGTAGAAGCTACGTCAGACTTCTTGTAAGAATGTATGGCTTCTTTCTTGCTTGGTTTTGCTTCATGGCCACACCCAGCTTACTCCTGGCTCTGTGCTCAGGGATCACTCCTGGCAGTGCTCAAGGGACTATACACAGTGCCAGGGATAAAACCCGCGTCATCCACAAGCAAGGCAAGCAAGCGCCTTACCCATGGTACTATCTTTCTGGCCCCAAAAGGCAGGACTTCAAAGGAACCTCAAATTTTGTGAAAAAGATGGCATGTTCTTATAATTTTTTTTTCAAGCACTCAGAGAGCTATTGAAGCATCATAACCATCAGAACTCAGAGGAGAGAGAAACTTCAACAGACTAGAAATTCGTTCAGGAGAAATTCTTGCTGGGTCCTCAACGACAGAAAATCCACAAGTTCGTTTGACCTGAGCAGATTAGCCACATGGAAGCAAAGCTTATGTGTAGGCACTAATTAGGTGCTGATGGGCAGGGTGTATCTGCAAGGCCCTGGGTGTGCTGGCAAGGCACCTGCCCCACACTCGACCGGCCGCGGGATTAGGGGACGCGTGTTACCTTTAAGCAAGTAGGTGACTGGGTCAACAGGACTTTTCGAGTTGAACCCAGCAGCAACGTTTGAGACAGAACAAAGCAAGGAGAGGCCAGCTGCGGGCACCGGGAATACAACAGGTGCTGAGAGTAGGGCGCCGACGATGTGAGAGAAGTGCGGGTGGTTGCCTGAAGGAAGGGGGTGCTTGGTGCCTGCCGAGAGGTGCACCCAGAGGCAGGAAGCTCACAGGGAGCAAGGTTCCAGGCCTGAGTGGAAGGATGACCGGAAATGACCGGAAGCAGCAGCGGAAAAGGAAGCCTCAAAAGGAAAAGTGGTTCTCACTTCATCTGCAAACACTGATGGGCAGGTCTGAGCGGCCACGCACAGCACAAGAGACCGAAAGGGTTTTGCTGGGCACTTTCCCACTGGACAGGAGAATGTCCTTGAGGTGACAGAAGAATGATCAAGAATCGCCTCAGAGGGGGCTAAAGTTACAGCACAGTGGGTAGAGCGTTTGCCTTGCATGCGGCTGATCCAGGTTCAATTCCCAGCATCCCATATGGTGCCCGAAGCACTGCCAGGAGTGGCTCCTGAGTGCATGAACTAAGAGTAACCCCTGTGCATCGCTGGGTGTGACCCGAAAAGCGAAAAAAATTAATAAATCACCTCAGAATGACTGCTGGGCGGGAATTCCTGTTTGCCGAGTGTCCCCGAGACGGGGCTAGAGCTCCAGAGGAAGGCAACCAACCCTGAGGTGACATGGCAACTGTGCGCCTGGCTGTGACTCCCCTGGGCAAGAGGCAGAGAGGAACTCAGAGGCTGTCATTAGTGAGGACAAGAGACTGAGGGGCAGGGAGCGGCAGAGAAGGAAACCAGCAGCGCAGCCTCTCAGGAGTGAGGGAAAGAGGCGGCCAAGAGTGAGGGGCCAGTCGACAAGTCAAGAGAGACAGATAAAGGAGGATGACTGAGGAGAGGCCAAGGGACCCTGACAGGAGCCAGGACCCGGGCCAGGCGGAATGCCATGTAGGTGTGAGTCTCGAGTGCCACCGATATGTACCTGATGTGGACCTGACCCCCTTGACCCCAGATGTGATCCCCACCAGCACACCCGGCGAGGCCTGTGTGAGAGGGTGTGTACGAGCACCACGCAAGGGCTGTGGACCTCGGGAGCTCCATCCAGGCTTGAATGCAGACCCCATCAGCATCCCGGCATCAGCCACACCAGTGAAGGGGGACATGGACGCAGCAGGCACCGCACACGTGCGAGTCTGCGGGCTGCAAGGAAAGAACCAAGGAGGGGCCGGCACGATGGTGCTAGTGGGGAGGGTGTTTGCCTCACATGCTGTCAAGCCAGGTTCAATTCCTGGAACCCCATACGGTCCCAAAGCACCACCAGGAGTGATTCCTGCGTGCAGAGCCAGGAGGAAGCCCTGAGCATCGCAGGGTGTGACCCAAAACAACAACAACAACAAAAAAGTCAAAGAAAGGGTTAAACCCGTACAGAGGGAGCAGACAGGAGAGCAACCAAATCCGGGGCTCCCACAGGCAGAACACATACTCCAGCCCTGGCCCATCTCTGCCCTCCAAAGGCCACCTTAAGGAATTTCAATGTAGCCTTTACAAATAATATAGGTTCAAACAAACAAACAACAAAACCCCCTGATATTTGACTGTCTCATCGCAGTCAAGGGGTGGAGAAGAGAAAGAAAATTTCAAACTGGAAAGCCCAGGCTCTGGTCTCATCACGCCCCTTAAAACCTACTGCCCAGCAGGTCACAACCTCTCTGGTCTCAGGGATGAGCTGAGGAGAACAATACATCAAAGAGCGCCAGAGTGTCAACACGAATTCCCTCATCTCAGGGTCACGCACCCAACAACAGGCCAGGTAGCGAGCTGCTGGGCTGTGACAAGCCCCGGCAAGTAAAGGAGACCTCACCTCTCCTCCCAGCAGGGGCAGGACGAGGAGGAGGAAGAAGCTGCTTCAGCCTTCAGGGCGGGATTACGATCAAAAGGCAGGTGAGGCTGGAGACAAATCCTCCAGCTGAGACTTGGCCGTGTTTTAGAGACAGTCTCGGAGCCAGGAAAAAACCCTCTCGGTGCCTTTTTCCCATGACCCGGGGATCCACTCACCTCCTCCATCCACAGCAAAGGGCCTTCTCCAAGGCCCAATTCTTTCATTTTATCTTCAATTTCCTGCTGAGTCCTTAAGTTCCTCTCCAAGGCAAAGGATGTCTGCTGAGACTGGGTGAGCTGGAGCAAGAGCCTGCAGGACAGAAGAGACCACGGTGTGGCTGGTGGTCCCGAGCCCTGAGGATCACGGGACAGTGCTCCCTGCACGCTTGAACCCCTCGGGCTTCCTCTGAAGAGAAGCAGGCTAAGGAGGTGCCGTCCCTCTCCCTGCTGGAGCGTCACTTCTAGATTCACAGACCGCAGCCAGGATAGCATCGATGCCCAGGAGGGCCATCCTGGGGCTGAGCACAGCCGGGTCTGCACAGACCTGAGAGGAAGAACAGTCGCCGGCTGGGCGCCTGGACCCAGGCGAGAGTTTCCAAGGCCACGCTGCATCCCGGTTGGGCCGTCAGCACCTGACCTCGCGGGCTGGCAGGATTCTTGGGAACACGTGTGCTCCCCAGAGCAAGGCCAGGTCTCTCACCTCCAGCTGCCAGGGCAGCCTGCCAACTGGAGCCACATCACCAACTTCCCTGGAATAACTATAACCTGGTCTCCTCCTGCACCTTCTCACACCTGTACACCGACGGGAAGTCCTTTTAAAATGTCGTTTATTCATTTCTGTTTTTCCTTTTTGGGTCACACACACCCGGCGATGCACAGGGGTTACTCCTGGTTCTGCACTCAGGAATCACTCCTGGCAGTGCTCGGGGGACCATATGGGATGCTGGGAATCGAACCCGGGTAGGCCGCGTGCAAGGCAAACGCCCTACCCGCTGTGCTATTGCTCCAGCCCATGTTTATTCATTTCTTTTGGTTTCTGAGGCACACCTGGCTGTGCGCAGGGCTGATTCCTGCAGGAGCTCAGACAACAACATGCGGTGGTGGGTACTGGCCCAGGGCCAGCCTTCCCTGGTTTGGGAGCACCACACCCAGCAGTGCTCAGGGCTCATTCCTGGCTCTGCACTCAGGGGTCACTCCTGGCAATGCTCATGGGGCCATATGGGATGCCGGAAATCGAACCCAAGTCAGCCATGAGCAATGCTAGTGTCCTCCCCACTGTGCTATCTATCACTCTGGCCCTGGTTCTGGAATTCTGCAAGCAAATCACTTGAGGACCCACATGCCCAGCAAGAGAACCGCATTAGCCATGAGCGCTATAAAAATCCACCACCAGGTGGGTGAAGGGTCCCCTTTGACGGGCAGTGAAGGAAGTTTTCAAAACTACTCGCTTAGGCTAAGGCCTCTTTGATGAGGGACAGGTCCGCAGGAGTACCTGGGGGGAGTGGGGCGGGCGCGGGGAAAGGAGACGCAGCGCAAGAATCAGTTAGATGTGTGAAAGTCACGAAGACCACGTGGCCAGAGCACAGCCAGGGAGAAAACCTTGGAGTGAATGAATGCAAGGAGTAAGAGAGGCCCGGTCTGGGGCCGGAGCGACAGGACGGTGAGTAGAGCACTGGCCTCACTCACAGCCAAGCCCTGAGCATCACTGAGTGTGACCCACCAAACAAAACAACAGAAAGAAAGGCTTAGTCAGTGAAGCCTCACAGGAAGGCATGCAAGTCTCCACGGGGACTGGAGCCCCAGAACAGGGGCAGGGCACGTGCCTTGCACGCAGCCAACTTGGGTTCAATCCCCGGCACCCCCTGAGCCTGCCAGGCATGATCCCCGAGCAGCGCCAGGTGCTCAGAGGAAGCCGTGGTGAGCATTCCCGGAGCACGATGTGACTCTGCAGCCGTCTCACCTCTCCTCACTTCCCCGCTGGCCCCCCCGTGGCATCAGCAATGGGGGCCCCCTGGAGCTCTGGCCTCTCCCTCTCTCTCCAGGGCGTCTGTGAGACACTTGCTCTTTCAGGTTCCCATCCATCCTTGCCCCACCGTCTGCACCCCCTTCTCAGCCCATCGTTGTGGAAATAGGAAATAGAAGTGACCTGCTCAGAGGCCACGGATGCCTGCCCGGCTTTCTCTCAGAACACCCGACTTCAGGCTTCCACCCCCCAGCTCTCCTGGGTACCCTGTTCCCAGTCCCTGTCTCAGCCCCGGTCCTAGCACAAAGTTCCCACTGGATGCCTGAGTCTCTGACATCCTCCTGCAGCTGCTCTGCACCTCACCTGCTCCTCCTGGGTCTCGGGGTGGGCACTGCCCCAGGTCCCCTCCCACACTCTCAGCCAGGCCTGTCTGCTCTGGCCTGCAGTGACCCTGCCCTCTTGGCATCACTGCAGGCACCCAGGCCTACCCCAAGCCTATTCCCGGAGACCCACTTCAGCCCCAGAGCCCCGGTGGGCAGCCACGCGCCTGCTCAGTGAACCAAAGAAGGGGTCCCTAGTCTTGCCTCCTCTTCACCGGTGGTCCCCACCAGTGCCCCTCGGAGCAAGTGGGGATTGAATGCAGGATGCTTTGCCCGCCCTCCACCTCCCCCTGCTTGCCCGGAGGCCTCTGAGCTCCCTGGGGATCAGGATGCAGAGCCGGGAGGGCACCCAGGAAAGTAGCGCTTGGTCTGAGAGCCTGGGGACCCACGAAGCACTAAGCCCTGCCCCCCTCCCACCCCCGGTCTCCACAGTCACCCTCTCCCTCTGGCCCCCCAGAGCTGAGATCATATCTAGAGAGCAGCAAGTGGAAGCCTGGGGCAGTTCCATCCACCCCACTCCTCCCAGAACATTCCGTACAAGCATCCTTCAGGCTCAGGCTTCCCTCTGGCAGCCATGTCCTGCGGACTGGCCACCAGGGCCCGGCAGTGCTCGAGCTGGTTTTGTCGTGGTCCGTTCAAGGGCAATAAAACCCACTCAACGCATTCTGAAAAACCACCTTGTTTAAGGTAACACCCCCCCCCTCCCGTTTCCAGCCAGGCCCCAGGGGGCAGGTGGGTGGTACCACCCACTCTGGAAAACTCTGCTGGTATCCATCCACAGGGCAGGGCTTTGCCAACACCATGGAGGAGAAAACTCAGCTGCCCGAGCTCGTATGGTCCACCACAATCTTTTACTTAATAGGGGCCATACCGCTTGTGGTGGGGGCCGAGTCAGTTCCAAGGACTAAACTCAGGGGCTCATGGACACGGGGTATTCTGTGCCAGGGCCTGGGAGGCACCCTGACGGCACCCACTCTCGGCAGAGATGGCGGCCAAGTGTCCTGCTGCCAGCCCCACTCTCCCTGTACCTCCCCAGCACGGCAAGGCCCGAAAAGGCCTGGCCCCGCCCTTCCCCACCCCTCCCTCCCTCCCTCTCTCCCTCCCTCCCTCCCTTTTTGTCTTGTCTGGAGGGGAACGATCAGGCTTAGCTGGCTGTGCTAAGTCAGACAGAGACCTCCATGTTTCTGTAGGACCACTGCAATTTGTAGACAAAAGATATCTTTTCATTTGCCCACAGTTGATTCCTGCAGGTTCCATCCAGCAAGTGCCTGACACAGTCCTGTACCTCCTCCTGCCATCTGAATTAAAGCGCAGAGTCAATGCTTAGTAAACAAACACCAGTCAAGTAAAGCTGCAAGTCGAATGGGTTTTAAGCAAGAGACTTCTCCGTCAGACTCAGGGTAATGCTTTTTCTACATTCTCCAAAACTAAAATACCAACACCCTTTGGTACCAATTGAGACCTAAGAGTGTGGGCATTCTTATTTGCTCATATACGTTATGAAATGGAAATTCTTTTTTCCTTAAACTCTAGAGATCCAATGCAATCAGAGCCCTTAAACCATGCGAATTCTCTGTAGAATTAAGAATAAAACAACTGGGGCCAACAAGATTGTACAGTGGATAAGACACTTGCCTTGCACACTGCTGATCCTGATTCTAATCTTGGCACCACATCTCTGAGCACTTCCAGACCTGGCCCGTGAGCACAGAGCCAGGAATAGTCTATGATGACTGCAGGGTGTGACTCTAATACCTCACCCACAAAAATCTCAGCCAAAAAACAGAGAAAAACACTCATATTCATATTATTAATAATTTAAATATAAAAGTCAATTTTTCTCTAGCAGATCTCTATGAAACAGGAGTGAAAATATTCTTTTTGCTTTTTGGGTCATACCCTGCGATGCTCAGGGGTTACTCCCAGGTCATGCACTCAGAAATTACTCCTGGCAGTTGCTCAGGGGACCATATGATTGCAAGGAATCAAACTCAAGTGGGCTGCATGCAAGGCAAACGCCCTACCCGCTGTTCTATCGCTCCAGCCCCAGGAGTGAAAAAATTCTTGTTTAAAACACTTTTAAACAAGATGGGGCTGAAGTGACAGACAGAACAGTGGGCAGGGTGCTTGCCTTCCATGCGGCTGACCCATGTTTGATCCCGCACCCCACATAATCCCCCAAGCACCGCCAGGAGTGATCCCTGAGCAGAGTGATACATGAGCATCCTTGGGTGGCCCCAAACTCCCCAAAATTTAAAATTAAAAACAACAACAATGAAGCTTTTCCTGCTGCCAATGTCTCATACATTTAATCTTCTTTTTTCCTTTCTAATATTTTCCAATTTTAACCTTTTCAGTAATGACACGTTACTTGAGTAAAGAGTTCTCAGCTGACCTTACTAACAGGAAAAGTTTGGGGCCGGAGTGATAGTACAACCAGAAGGGCATTTGCCTTGCAAGTGGCCGACCTGGGTTCCATCCCCGGCATCCCATATGGTCCCCCGAGCACTGCCAGGGGTAATTACTGCATGCAGAGCCAGAAATAACCCTTGAGCATCACTAGGTATGATCCAAAAAGCCAAAATAATAAATAAATAAAAGGAAAAGTTCAAAGGATTCTGTCTAGACCACGGACTGGAGGGGGACAGGGGAAAGAATCTCCGAACACAGACCCACTGTCTAGCCTAGAATGTTTTCAAACGCCAAATAAAATAAACCTTGCCTAGGAACTGAGGAGATAGCACAGGGGATAACTCATGTCACGCATGACTGGTTCAAATGCTGGCACGGTACCTGAATACCTGAGCACCGCCAGGGGTCACTCCTGAGCACAGAGACAGGCACAGTCCCTGGGCACGGCTGGTGTGATCCCCCTCCTTCGCCCCCCCGCCCCCGCCAAAAAAAAACCCCAACAACCTAAAAAACCCCAAAACCCTGCCTATCAGCTTAGCACCCACGTGGGGACCACCTGACCCGCCCAGTTACCTGGTTCGGATAAAGGAGGCACCTGCTTTCAGTCGAGCCTCCAGGGGCACTGCGACCCTCTCGGATGCCAGCCTGCCCCGTGTGCCCTCCAGGGCTGGCACTGGCAGCTGGCCGCCACCGCCGCTGGCCTCCACAGAAAGCAAGGGGTGCGCGGACTCGTCTGCAGGCAGGCATGAAAGGCAGGCTCTGGTGGAGTGTGGGCTGGAGGACTCGGTCGCCTGGTCACTTGAGGTGAACTTGCTGTGCTTCTGAGACGCCGACACTGAGAGAGCTGGCCTCAGCGTCAGGTAGGCCTCGGCCAACTTGCCCCAGTTCCAAGAATTAAAAGGATGCAAAGAAATCAGTTTCTGTAGACAGAGAATTGCTTTTTCCACCTTCTGGAAACTTGAGCAAATAGCAAACTGGAGGCTGAGCACAGTGGTTAAATGGTCTGTGTTGGTCGCTTTACTTTCCTAAGGAGGAAGAGCAAGGTCAAAACTTGAATCTGCAGAAAGTTTTCCATATAAACATGGAGATCCCTGCAGTTCTATGCAGAGTCAATGCAACATTTTTTTTAGCGAATCTTAGTTTGAAACTGGAAACTTTTTCTAATTATTTTAGATTTCGGGGCTCTACCCGGTGATGCTCTGGGTATATTCCTTGCTCTACATTCATAGATTATTGCTCGGGGACTATATGGGATGCGAGAGATCAAACCCAGTGGCCGCATGCAAGGCAAGCACCCTACCCACTGTACTACTGCTCCAGCCCCTGAAATTGGCAACTTAATGAACCACATGACTTAGCAATCAATCACCAGTCACTCCCAAATGTCTTCATGTCACAATAACGCCACCCATATTACAGTGGTTGGACCAAATGTGGCACCAAATCCATAAATGTCGGCTTATTTTCCATTTTTATTATAATCTTCACTGTCCTCCGCCAAGTGTCTGAAAGACCCAAGCCAACATTTTGACTCCGGGCTAATGGTTCCATTTCAATATTCCAGCCTTTCAAAAATCCAAATGGCAATTTCCTTGAGGATTCAAATGTACTCCACTTCCAATTTTTTGTTGGCTCGGACATCTTACACAGGATAGCCCTACAGTTCTGTTTCATGACGCATCGTAATTGAATCCAAATGCCTTTCCTGGTAACTATTACCGGGGCCAATTATTTCTGGCCCGTGGGGGCTGCTTGGTTTCCTTCTGATCAGAAAGTGCTTTTCAAGTCTCTTCAGTTAGCGCAGCCTCTTCTTGCCTAATCTGCCACACAGGAAACAAGCCTTTTCCCAAAGTCTGTGGAGGGCAGAAGGCAAACACAAGCCGATTTGCATCTACAGAAAACGCAGCCTGCTTCAGATTGAGCTCCGGCACAGCATGGAACTACGCAGGCAAGAAATGTGAGTCAAACTACCCAGTTTTTTTTTTTTTTTTGCAGTTAAAAAAAAAAAAAGTGAGGTGGAGCGAGAGGGTGGCAGAAGCAAGCAAAAGCTGGTGGGGAATTCAAAATAGACCCGGATACTGAGTGAAGAGTCCAAAGGCCACACAAACTGCAGCTCCCCAAGAACAGAGGGGATGAGGCTTAACATCACCCACTGCGCCATGTTCGCTCCTTCCCAGACCCCCGGGGCAGCACGTCGGGGACAGCTGCCGTCTGATGGCTGCTGAATCAAGTGTTCTCACGTCTCTGGAAGAGGGAAGCAGAGGGGACTGACAACAAGCATCACCTTCCCGCCCGCCACCAGTCTATGGCGCTTTATGCTCTTTTGGGTCCTGGAACCAATGCCAGTCCCCAGGAATCTGATGCCAGTCCACAAAAATACGGATGTGAAACTATTATTATAAATAGTGGTTTTATATCAGCTAAGGGCTGGAGCGATAGCACAGCGGGTAGGGCGTTTGTCTTGCACGCAGCGAACCCTGGTTCAATTCTTCCATCCCTCTCGGAGAGCCCGGCAAACTATCGAGAGTATCCCGCCTGCAGGGCAGAGCCTGGCAAGCTCCCTGTGGTGTATTCGATATGCCAAAAACAGTAACAAGTCTCGCAATGGAGACGTTACTGGTGCCCGCTTGAGCAAATGGATGAACAATGGGAGGACAGTGCTACAGTGCTAATATCAGCTAAGCAGCCTGTGAAGCTGTTTTCCTATTTCCATCAATCCAGGGATGGCTTCCCTGATCCCTCCGCTTAGAACCCACTGTCAGGCACATGGAAGGCCTGAAATAAACAGGATTTTGTCTGGTCATTTGTTTGGGCTTCCTGAGAGGTGCTCAGGAGGCTGGAGGCCCTGCCAGTGTCGAGACCCGACCCGTGGATGTGAAGCTGTGTGTGTGGGCCCTGCCGTGCCAGGGACCACCCAGGTGACCCCAGCCTGCTTGGGAGCCTCTGGGACAACCGGTAGTAGTGCTGGGGGTTTCGGGAGTCACACCTGGCAGGACTTGGTGGGGTGGAGTGCAGGGTGTCTTCAAGGCTACCACTGGTGATGCTCAGGGGCTGTTGGTGCCAGAGTTCAAACCGAGGTAGGTGTCGTGCAAGGTTGCACCCCTGTACTATCTTACACCACAGGCTGAGCGTCGCTGGGAACAGCTCCCAGCCTCGGCACCCCTGGGTCTATGAAAAATTAAGTGTCGCACATCCTGGGAAATACTGCACTAGCCTATGCTGCCCACGTCTTTCCCCAATGCCCAGAAGGTGCTAGAAACCTAATGATGAGCTGTCAAGGGCTGCAACTTCCCAAGCCCACCAGGAGAGATCCCTGAGCACAGAACTAGGACTAAGCCCTGAGCACCACTGGGGAGTGTCTCTCGTCCCTGCCTCCCTGCCCTCAGGCCCCGCACAAAACCCAACATCAAATCACTGACCTCTATAAATTGGAACTGGGCATAGGCTGGGATTGGCCAATTAAAAAAATTGTGTGAGTGCACATAGAAGTAAACCATAAATGCCTTCATCCACAATGGCAAAGAACTGCCTGTATTTATTCCAAGCCCCTGAAAATCCACTTGAAAATAAAAATAAAATAAAATATCAAACTTGGTTTAGTATGATATTCGCCACTTTTTTGTAACACTTTTTCTTTTTACAAAAGCAACAAGCCCGGGCTGGAAAGGTAGTAAAGCAGGTAAGGCATTTGATTTTCATGCGGCCACCAGGGTTCCATCCCAGGCATCCCAAATGACCTCCCAAGCACCACCAGGAGTGTTTATTGAGCACAGTGCTAGGGTAAGCCCTGAGCATTGCTGGATGTCCCCTGCTCCCTGACAAAGAAATAATGTAAGTTCACTGTAGAAGATCTGAAAAGTAGAATCTAAATTAAAAAATCTAAAGAAAACAGAGCATCATAATACTTCTATTACGAGTATTTATTCCTAACGGGTAAAACCTGTGCAGTAAGATTTTCATGAAAAAAAAAAAAAAAGAATTCTGAACATAAACAGAGAAAAAAAAACCCTTGAAAGAAAGTGATTATGTGTAGGGGCAGAGATAAGAGTACAGTGGGTTGAGCGCTTCCTTGCACACGGCCAAGCTTCGGTTTGATCCCCAGCATCTCACAGGGTCCCCCAAGCCCACCAGGAGTAATTCCTGAACACAGAGGCCAGAGTAACCCCTGAGCATTGCTGGGTATGGTTTCAAAAATAAAAATGATCAGTCTAAAGTTCTAAATTGGTCATCATAACAAAGTTCTTACACCACTTATGACGTTGTTCCGCGTATCCAAGCCTACAAAATCTACGGTTAATAGGCTTTCAGTTGTTTTACTTTTTTTATGTTATTTTGCTTTTTCAAAAACAAACAATTCCACAACCCACGATACCAGAGGACGCAGGGACCCGGCAGTGACGCGAAATGGCTCACCAGCTCCGTGGCGATCTCCAGCGCCTCGGCCTGACGTCCCAGCCGAGTCAGACACCGGGCCTGGCCCTCCTGGACGTCCCTCCTCATGGCGAAATTGGTGGGTGGCAACTGCTCTGCGATGCTAGAATACTCCTGCAGGGCTTTCTGGCCATGGTTAAAGTGGGGGGGTGGTGGAGGGGGGGGGTAAGAGAAGGGAAACAGAAGTGTGAAACAGCAGAGAAGGATTCAGTACTAGAATTAAGTTTCCCCAAATCAGAGGCTGAAGCAGAGCTTTGACAGGCTCCACTTTAAGACCAAAACTCCATCAGAAAGTCCCGACTTCTCAGAAAACAATATCCCCCTGGGCAGATACCCCCCCCCCCCCCCCCCCGTGGCAGCAGCCTATCAGAGTAGGGGGCCTGGGCAGTGACACCCAGCCAATCAGAGAGGGCCTCGGGAGTGGAGTCACAGGACAGGGACCCAAGAACTGGAAACATAATGTTGGTTCCTGGAGTCATGGGACTGAACAGGGATCTGAATTGGAAACACATTGCCAGTTCCTAGAAAAAAATGCTGTTATGTAACCAACCCCCATATAAGCTGCTTAGAATTCCGAGTCAGGTCCTTGTCAAGACTCCACTGCGTTGGATGAGACTTGGACCCTAGCTCGAACTAGCTAATAAAGGGGCCTTGCATTTGCAGCCTCGCGTCTGGTCTGGTCAGTGTGTGAGTGAAACTCCTGTCCCGGGACTTAACAACGTGTTGTTACGACTGATCCCGCAATGAACTAAGACGTCCATCCAGTTGGGGCTACTCTCCTAAAACAAGAGAGTAGGCACGGCTGGAGACTGTGACCTCGGGTTTGCCCCGAGAAAAGGAGCGAGAAGTTCACGCTGGAACCAAACAGCCCAGGGTTTGCACCCAGGCTGTGCCACTAACCTGGTGAAGGGTGTCTTCCTCCCTAATGGGAAACAGTATCCGCAGCCCTGAGGGGAAGGAAGGTGTGCTGTGTGCAAGCCTGGTGTCACTCTGGGGCGTGCTGCTTGTGGACACCACGCAGGGCCAGTGCACACAGTCTCCCGTGACACAGGGATTAAAGAACTGGGGACCCAGATGCCTCCAAGACCCTAGCAAGGCAGGACCTACAGAAAACCAAGGATGATCCACTGTACCGACAGCACACGGGACAGTGACGACAGATACGGTCACAAGAGACCAAATGGTCTTCACCAACGGCGCACTCAGCCCTCAGTGTGCAGCAGGCAAACAGGCTGTGAGTGGCCACTGCCCACAGCCAGAGTCTGCATGGTGCTTCCCCCAGAGCCTACCCAGTGCTCCTGGAACCAACGCATTGCTCCCCTGGAGCCAACCTGGTGGTGCTCCAGGCTACCAGGTGCCCCCCCCACCACCAACACCACCAACCTGGTGCTTCCCCCCAGAGCCCACCTGGTACTCCCGCCGTCTGTAGGCCAGGTCCCCTCTGAATTTCTTGAGAGTCAGAGTATCGGCATCATCACCACTCCCTGGTTCCTCAAGAAACCACTAGAAACGGTGAGAAGGGCAGAGAATGAAGCTATGCTCCCCACTTCCTCTAACTCTGGGGAGCAACTCCCACATATCACTGACTGGACCTACAAGCCCATGAACACAAGTTCTTGAACATGTACTTCCTCTTTCTCTACCCTCATTTCTAAGTAATTTTTCATTCATTAAAAACCACCTTCCAGGAGAGAGAGAGAGAGAGAGAGAGAGAGAGAGAGAGAGAGAGAGAGAGAGAAGTGGCGGTGGAAGGAACCTGGGGATATTGGTGGTGGGAAATGTACACTGGAGGAGGGATGGGTGTTGGAACATTGTATGACTGATACCTAATCGTGAACAGTTTTGAAACTGTGTCTCATGGGGATTCAATTAAAGATGATGATGATGATAATAATAAACCTCCTGCTTCCAAAAAAAAAACCCGATTAAACATTTCTTCAGAATGATTCCCCAAGCCCGTTTTTGTTAAGTCTACAACTGTGATCAAGCAACGAAGAAAGGGAAAAGACTGCGTGTGGTGAGGAGAAAATGGAAGGGAAATAAAACAAAAACACAATTAGTAGCTGATACGTACAAATTGTACTTTTCAGATAACTGCCAACCTGTCAACAGGCTCAAGCGAAGCAAACCGTGTCAAAGAGCCCAGAACCGGTGGTCACTTTTGGAGAAACCCTAGTTACTGGTGGGCCTCACACACGTGAACTAACAGAAGCCGCACTCCGCTAAACACTGAGCACTGAGGGAACCCCTATTACAAGCAAAAACTGCTAGCATCGGGGCTGGAGCAATAGCACAGCGTGTACGGCGCTTGCCTTGCACGCGGCCGACCTGGGTTCGATTCCCAGCATCCCATATGGTCCCCCTGAGCACCGCCAGGAGTAATTCCTGAGTGCATGAGCCAGAAGTAACCCCTGTGCATCCCCGGGTGTGACCCAAAAAGAAAAAAAAAAAAACCTGCTGGCATCGCGGAGGTCTCGGGCTTCAGTTTCCAATCCCACGTGACCACGTGCCACTTTGGAAGAACTTTGGGTACAGACACGGCTTTAATGGCAGCTAGACGAGAAAGGGGGAGGCAAAGGCAAAAAGAAAAACTAAGTGGACTGCACGGAGCCATGCGGGAGGGCATTCCGACCGAGGCACGGAAGATGCGGGCCGCCAGCGGGCCGGGCCAGGTGCCGTCCCTCACCTGCGGCTCGCAGCGCTTGGCGCGGTAGGACGCGGGCGGTCCCCACGGCCGCTCCGGCCGCTCTTCGAACACCGAGTCCTCGAACTCGCCGCCCAGAACGAAGCCGCCGTCCTCCATGGCGCGCCACGGCCCGGGCCGCACACGAGCGGACGCCCAAGAGCGCCCGACGGGCGCGCCAACCCGGAAGGAGCGCGGCATGCTGGGACGGGTAGTCCGCGCGGGGCGCGGCATGCTGGGACTTGTAGTCGGCCCAAATCGCAGCACGCTGGGACTTGTAGTCTTTTGCGGGGCAGGGGCGGGGCACCAGGCGGGCACTTGGCAAGCTGTGAGTTGGGAGGCGTGGTGGGTGGAACTGAGATTTTTATCTGACTCACCACCAAGTCACAGAGCCCAAGTAGAGTTTGAATTCTCCGTTAACTGGAGAAGCCAAAGAGAGAAATTTTCTCCCTTCACATTAAAAAATAAATAAATAAAGTACTTGACTACAGGGCACCTGTTTAAAACTCTTTCGGTACCTTTTCCCCAACACTAACGACTAAGTGGTGTGCTAAGCGCTTTCCCCCCTTCCCACTTTATAATTAATTTGTTTATAACAGGAACAATGGTTCTCATTTCATAAACGAAGATATTAGGACTTGCAGAGGCTAAGTAATTGGCTCAGGGTCAGTAATTAATTGGCTTAGAGTTGGGAATAGAGAAATGACTCTGTTTTCCTCTTCTTATGTCCAGATAGTCTCAGAGACTATAAAAAACCAGCTCCCGGAGGGAGAACAGTGCAGTCTCCTGGTCCCGCGCCTGGCTATTCCTCGCCGGGGCCCCTTGGAGGGGAGCGGGTTGATCTTTCCTCCCCGCCCTGACCAGGGCCCTGGCAGCCGAAGACCTCCAGGACCAGCCACCACCATGCTGAGACCACTCTCCGCACACCTGAAGGTACCGGCAGAGGGACAAAGCCACGTGGGTTCCGGGCCCGAGATCTCCAAGCCTACTCGAATTGGAGTCGAGCATCCTCCACCCAGATCCTCCAAATTCCAGTAGGGGGGGTCACACCCAACAACTGGCCCCCTGGCGCCATGTAATCCCATCAGCGGCCAAGACTCAGAGACTATACAAACCAGCTCTTATTATGACATCTCATTCCTACTTTGACAAACTGGCAGGCTACCGAATGTAGCCTGCCCACACGACAGAGTCTGGCAAACTCCCCGTGGCGTACCCAATATGCCAAATGCCAGTAATAATGATGGGTCTCATTCTCCTAAAGAGCCTTGAATATAATCTCAGGGCTAGGATGAAGGAGACGTTACTGGGGCCTGCTCGAGGCAATCGACGAATAACAGGATGATCTGTGATCTGTGATGTCCAGATAAGGGACACCACTACCAATGACAAGAACTCAAGTGGTAGTCTCCACTTTTGTAAAATGGAGGATATTTGGCTTTGCTCTAGAGGGCACAATAACCCCAGCTGGAGAAAAACATCAAATCCCAGAATTCTAAGATTAACCTATGCTGCAATTCTATACTTTCTATACGTTCCTTGAGACTGGGAAGTAGAAACTGTTGCTACAATATTGGCCAATATCGCACAGCACAATATTGCTTTCAATGGTCACAGCAGGTAACCAACAAAGAGATTTTCCTATTTCTTCTTGACACTTCCACCTTATAACCCACTGGTTCTTTCTTCAACCCAATCTTCGACTTACAGACACTCTAGGGCAATCAAATCTACTCTCCATAGTTTTCAAATCCATCTCTCTGCTGGGCAAATTCCCAGCTCGGGGTCTTCAGATCTGGGTGGAAGACCCCACAAAATATCCCTCAGGCATCGGTAGATGATGAATTCATTCACAGAGAAATCAGGAAGAACAAAAAAATTCCCCATCATCAATGTCGTAGTCGATATTAGGAACAAATATGAATCATATCATAGACAAATTGAAGTAAAAGAGGTAGCCCTAATACCATCACCTAGAAGCAGTAGGGTCTATAGAAGGCGGAAATGTTTGCCCTGATCCTAACATCCCATCCTAGGCAAAAAAGCAGTACTGTGTAGTTGTGGCGAGACCCCAAGCAACGATGTGTCCTGGACCCCCAATCCTGACTCACTTATTTATTTAGCTGTGTGACTCAAATTGTGGGGTCCGAGCACTGATTAAAATACTTCACATAAAATGCCTGACAAAGAGGAAGTGAGTAACACCTGTTGATTCAGAATTTCTATGCCATGTGCAAAGAGCACAGCAGGAGATTTTCAGCTGTTTCTTTTAGTGGTTTTTTTTTTTTAATTTTTGGTCATCATTCAAAATCCTGTTCAGGATAGGATTTCATGTGCATTCTAACATTCTAACACCACATCCTAAACCAGAGTGTCTAACTTCCCTTTCCCACTTTTTCAGGGTCCCGTCCATTTACTGTCCCCTATTCCCCAGACCTGAATTTGTTCATCTCAGTTATGTAGACCAGTTATCACGCTCTATTGTCTTTGACCATTTGTTATTCTCATACCATGTTTCTTCATATCCCACATATGAGAAAGATCATTCTTTATCTGTCCCTGTCATTCTGACATCACTCAGAATAATACCCGTAGATCCGTTCGCATGGTGGCAAATTGCATGATTTCACCTTTTTCTTGTAGCCGAGTTATATTCCTTGCATATATGTATCATAGTTTATCCAATTATCTGTTCTTGGACACTTGGACACTTACTTGGGTTGTTCCTAGACTTTGGCCATTGCAAATAGTTCAGCTCTTTCTTTTGAGGAGGCTTTTGATTGTATAATTTCCATCCTATGCTCTTCTGAGGCCCCCAACTGAACCCTGGGTCAGGCCTCCTCTTGGCACAATGACTGAGATGTCTGCTGAAATAGAAAGCCTCAGGAAGCCAGCTTCATGATGAAAGTTCATTATACTTTAAACACAGGATTCCTATGGTCAGATGTCTAGTCATTGTACCATCAAGAATCCTTTTATTTTCTTCTAAAGTTGTAGAGGATTTGGTACACTCATATGGACTCATTAGGTAATAACTGCTTACTCTTCATTTTAAAAAAATGACAGCCATCTTACAAGGTACATTTTACATGCCATAGTTAAGCCAACTTATTGCCAGCAGCCGTTTAATAATATGATCAGTGATGGGTCTTTGACAATAATGAAAATAGCTCAAAGATTTCTGTCTTTGCAGAGGTTCTGGGGCCTGCGATCCCAAGTTGTAAACTACTGTGTCATTTTAGGGTTGGGGTTTTGGGGTTGTGTTTTTTTCCCTATTTTTAGGGAGCCACACCTGGTGGTGCTCAGGGCTTATTCTTGGCTTTGTGTTCAGAGATTACAGTTCTGGTGGTGCTGAGGGGACCATATGTGGTGCCAGAAAATCAAACCAGGGTTTACCGCATACAAGACAAGTGCCTTAACCAATTCAAACTGGGGTCCAACACATGCAAGACAAGAGCCTTAACTCCTGAACTATCACTTCAGCCGGGTACTGTCATTTTAAAAGGAAAGAATAGGACTGTGGCTACTATAGTGGCAAAATGCATGCCATGCATGTAGGAGACCTAGGTCTGAACCCTGGCATTATAAAAAATTCAAATAAAAATGGGAGCTGAGCACAATCTGCTTCCAGGCTCCATTTTAGAGCACCAACAGCCCTGGTCTAGAGATATAGGAGCGAGCCCCGGAAGACACCACAGCACTGGAGATCTCTCCGGGCCCCATACGAGCCAATTTCACCAGGCTACCCCAGATGGAGCAGGTGTGCTCTCCCTGCGTACTCCAGATGGAATCCCAGTGACCAAGAACTTCCATATGCAAGGCCCAGGTATGCGGGTTCCAGGACTGAATTTCCAGGTTGCATGGTGGCAGAGGAGCTGGGCTGTCCCTCCGTAGATCCCTGCCCACTTGGCAGCCTGGCGAGACTCCCAGTTGAATCCCAAAATGGATTAGTGCCCTACAGAGATGTCTCCGGAACCCCAACCATTTTCAATCTTGAATTCCAGAAGTGATACTCAAAATGAGCAATGGATAATAAATTATCTAGCGTCCGCCTCTGGCAGGCAGGCTTAAATGGTGGTGTGAAAATTCGCACATAACATAATGCCCAACTGGTGGAGGGATGGGTATTTGATCACTGTATAATTGAAACCCAAGCACAAAAATTTGTAAGTCTACAACTGTACCTCATGATGTCTCACTAATAAAAATTTTTTAAAAAAACCATAATGCCCAAAAGTAAAGAGAGTATTGGGGAAATTGTCTCCATAGAGGCAGGGTGAGGACTGGGATGGGGGTTGGTGGGGATACTGGGGACATTGGTGGTGGAAAAATGTGCACTGGTGAAGGGATGGGTGTTCAATCATTGTATGGCTGAATCTCAAACATGAAAGCTTTGCAACTATCTCACGGTGATTTAATAAAAAAAAAGGGGGGCTGAGGATGTAATTCAGCACTAGAGCATATCTCTTACATGTATAATGCCCTAGGTTTTATCTCTGCCATCACAAATAATATTTAAATGAAAATGAAAAGAGAAAAGGGAATTTTAGTGTTAGGGAGTGAGAATCCTGCAGTATCTAAAGCTGTAGGCATGTGATTTTAAATAGTACTGTAGTATTGTCCTCCTGTTGTTCATCGATTTGCTCGAGTGGGCTCAGTAACATTTCCAATGTGAGATTTGTTGTTACTGTGTTTGGCATATCAAATACATCACGGGTACCTTGCCAGACTTTTCCGTGCGTGCGAGATACTCTCGGTAGCTTGCCAGGCTCTCTGAGGGGGTGGAGGAATCGAACCCGTGTTGGCTGGGTCGGCAAGGCAAACACCCTACCCACTGTGCTATTGCTTCAGCTCACCCATGCCAATTAACAATAATAAAATAAATCCAGAGGTCCACTAAAGACAACAGGTAGGACATCCATCCACTCATGCCTGTCCAAAGGAAATAATTTTTCTTTCCAAGTTTTTCACCTGATCTCCAGGTCTTCTTGTAAGCTTTTTATTTTGTCCCTGATGACACCCAATTACATTTACATAAATACAACACTCGTCCTGTAGAACAAACACATGCCTCCCTCTTTGACAATCAACATGAAAGAGGAAGCCTCTATTTCCTCTTGCCAAGAA